ATTATTCTTCAATATTGAAGAATATTCTTCAATATTGAAGAATATTCTTCAATATTGAAGAATATTCTTCAATATTGAAGAATATTCTTCAATATTGAAGAATATTCAATTCAATATTGAAGAATATTCTTCAATATTGAAGAATATTCTTCAATATTGAAGAATATTCTTCAATATTGAAGAATATTCTTCAATATTGAAGAATATTCTTCAATATTGAAGAATATTCTTCAATATTGAAGAATATTCTTCAATATTGAAGAATAATATTCAATATTGAAGAATATTCTTCAATATTGAATAATATTCTTCAATATTGAAGAATATTCTTCAATATTGAAGAATATTCTTCAATATTGAAGAATATTCTTCAATATTGAAGAATATTCTTCAATATTGAAGAATATTCTTCAATATTGAATAATATTCTTCAATATTGAAGAATATTCTTCAATATTGAATATTAAGATTCAATATTGAATATTATTCTTCAATATTGAATAATATTCTTCAATATTGAATAATATTCTTCAATATTGAATATTATTCTTCAATATTGAATATTATTCTTCAATATTGAATATTATTCAATTCTTCAATATTGAATATTATTCTTCAATATTGAATATTCATTCTTCAATATTGAATAATATTCTTCAATATTGAATATTATTCTTCAATATTGAATATTATTCTTCAATATTGAATAATATTCTTCAATATTGAAGAATATTCTTCAATATTGAATATTATTCTTCAATATTGAAGAATATTCTTCAATATTGAAGAATATTCTTCAATATTGAAGAATATTCTTCAATATTGAAGAATATTCTTCAATATTGAAGAATATTCTTCAATATTGAAGAATATTCTTCAATATTGAAGAATATTCTTCAATATTGAAGAATATTCTTCAATATTGAAGAATATTCTTCATATTCTTCAATATTGAAGAATATTCTTCAATATTGAATAATATTCTTCAATATTGAAGAATATTCTTCAATATTGAAGAATAATATTCAATATTGAAGAATAATATTCAATATTGAAGAATAATATTCAATATTGAAGAATAATATTCAATATTGAAGAATAATATTCAATATTGAAGAATATTCTTCAATATTGAAGAATATTCTTCAATATTGAATTGAATATTGAAGATATTCTTCAATATTGAAGAATATTCTTCAATATTGAAGAATATTCTTCAATATTGAAGAATAATATTTAAGAATATTCTTCAATATTGGAGAATATTCTTCAATATTGAAGAATATTCTCCAATATTGAATATTAATAGTGGAGAATATTCTCCAATATTGAATAATAATATTCTTCAATATTATTCTTCAATATTGAATAATATTCTTCAATATTGAAGAATATTCTTCAATATTAATCTTCAATATTGAAGAATATTCTTCAATATTATTCTTCAATATTGAAGAATATTCTTCAATATTGAAGAATATTCTTCAATATTGAATAATATTCTTCAATATTGAATATTATTCTTCAATATTGAATAATATTCTTCAATATTGAAGAATATTCTTCAATATTGAATATTATTCTTCAATATTGAAGAATATTCTTCAATATTGAAGAATATTCTTCAATATTGAATAATATTCTTCAATATTGAATATTATTCTTCAATATTGAATATTATTCTTCAATATTGAATATTATTCTTCAATATTGAAGAATATTCTTCAATATTGAAGAATATTCTTCAATATTGAAGAATATTCTTCAATATTGAAGAATATTCTTCAATATTGAAGAATATTCTTCAATATTAATCTTCAATATTGAATATTATTCTTCAATATTGAAGAATATTCTTCAATATTGAATATTGAAGAATATTGAATAATATTCTTCAATATTGAATATTATTCTTCAATATTGAATATTATTCTTCAATATTGAATATATTCTTCAATATTGAAGAATATTCTTCAATATTGAAGAATATTCTTCAATATTGAATATTGAATATTCTTCAATATTGAAGAATATTCTTCAATATTGAATATTATTCTTCAATATTGAAGAATATTCTTCAATATTGAAGAATATTCTTCAATATTGAAGAATATTCTTCAATATTGAATATTATTCTTCAATATTGAATAATATTCTTCAATATTGAATAATATTCTTCAATATTGAATATTATTCTTCAATATTGAAGAATATTCTTCAATATTGAAGAATATTCTTCAATATTGAAGAATATTCTTCAATATTGAAGAATATTCTTCAATATTGAAGAATATTCTTCAATATTGAAGAATATTCAATATTGAATATTCTTCAATATTGAATAATATTCTTCAATATTGAATAATATTCTTCAATATTGAATATTATTCTTCAATATTGAATAATAATATTCTTCAATATTGAATAATATTCTTCAATATTGAAGAATATTCTTCAATATTGAAGAATATTCTTCAATATTGAAGAATATTCTTCAATATTGAAGAATATTCTTCAATATTGAAGAATATTCTTCAATATTGAAGAATATTCTTCAATATTGAAGAATATTCTTCAATATTGAAGAATATTCTTCAATATTGAATAATATTCTTCAATATTGAAGAATATTCTTCAATATTGAAGAATATTCTTCAATATTGAAGAATATTCTTCAATATTATTCTTCAATATTGAATATTATTCTTCAATATTGAATATTATTCAATATTGAAGAATATTCTTCAATATTGAAGAATATTCTTCAATATTGAAGAATATTCTTCAATATTGAATATTATTCTTCAATATTGAATAATATTCTTCAATATTGAAGAATATTCTATCAATATTGAATATTATTCTTCAATATTGAATATTATTCAATATTGAAGAATATTCTTCAATATTGAAGAATATTCTTCAATATTGAATAATATTCTTCAATATTGAATATTATTCTTCAATATTGAAGAATATTCTTCAATATTGAAGAATATTCTTCAATATTGAAGAATATTCTTCAATATTGAAGAATATTCTTCAATATTGAAGAATATTCTTCAATATTGAATATTATTCTTCAATATTGAAGAATATTCTTCAATATTGAAGAATATTCTTCAATATTGAATAATATTCTTCAATATTGAAGAATATTCTTCAATATTGAAGAATATTCTTCAATATTGAAGAATATTCTTCAATATTGAAGAATATTCTTCAATATTGAAGAATATTCTTCAATATTGAATATTATTCTTCAATATTGAATAATATTCTTCAATATTGAAGAATATTCTTCAATATTGAATAATATTCTTCAATATTGAATATTATTCTTCAATATTGAATATTATTCTTCAATATTGAATATTATTCTTCAATATTGAATATTATTCTTCAATATTGAATAATATTCTTCAATATTGAATAATATTCTTCAATATTGAAGAATATTCTTCAATATTGAAGAATATTCTTCAATATTGAAGAATATTCTTCAATATTGAATAATATTCTTCAATATTGAATATATTATTCTTCAATATTGAAGAATATTCTTCAATATTGAATATTATTCTTCAATATTGAATATTATTCTTCAATATTGAATATTATTCTTCAATATTGAAGAAATATTGAATAATATCAATATTGAAGAATATTCTTCAATATTGAAGAATATTCTTCAATATTGAATATATCTTCAATATTGAAGAATATTCTTCAATATTGAAGAATATTCTTCAATATTGAAGAATATTCTTCAATATTGAATAATATTCAATATTGAATATTATTCTTCAATATTGAATATTATTCTTCAATATTGAATATTATTCAATATTGAAGAATATTCTTCAATATTGAATAATATTATTCTTCAATATTGAAGAATATTCTTCAATATTGAAGAATATTATTCAATATTGAATATTATTCTTCAATATTGAAGAATATTCTTCAATATTGAAGAATATTCTTCAATATTGAAGAATATTCTTCAATATTGAATATTATTCTTCAATATTGAATATTATTCTTCAATATTGAATAATATTCTTCAATATTGATTCTTCAATATTGAATATTATTCTTCAATATTGAAGAATATTCTTCAATATTGAATAATATTCTTCAATATTGAAGAATATTCTTCAATATTGAAGAATATTCTTCAATATTGAATATTATTCTTCAATATTGAAGAATATTCTTCAATATTGAAGAATATTCTTCAATATTGAAGAATATTCTTCAATATTGAAGAATATTCTTCAATATTGAAGAATATTCTTCAATATTGAAGAATATTCTTCAATATTGAAGAATATTCTTCAATATTGAAGAATATTCTTCAATATTGAAGAATATTCTTCAATATTGAATAATATTCTTCAATATTGAATATTATTCTTCAATATTGAATATTATTCTTCAATATTGAATATTATTCTTCAATATTGAATATTATTCTTCAATATTGAATATTATTCTTCAATATTGAAGAATATTCTTCAATATTTAAGAATAATATTCAATATTGAAGAATATTCTTCAATATTGAAGAATATTCTTCAATATTGAAGAATAATATTGAATATTATTCTTCAATATTGAATATTATTCTTCAATATTGAAGAATATTCTTCAATATTGAAGAATATTCTTCAATATTGAAGAATATTCTTCAATATTGAAGAATATTCTTCAATATTGAAGAATAATATTCAATATTGAATATTATTCTTCAATATTGAAGAATATTATTCAATATTGAATATTATTCTTCAATATTGAAGAATATTCTTCAATATTGAATATTATTCTTCAATATTGAATATTATTCTTCAATATTGAATATTATTCTTCAATATTGAATATTATTCTTCAATATTGAAGAAATCGTCAATATTGAAGAATATTGAATATACACAAAACACATGAGGTTCTTAGAAACAAAAAACAACCGTCAATTCAACTATGTTTATTGACACATTAATAAATACATCTCAAAGGGATACAGTACTTTAGGGTATTTATACTCTACTTGCAGAACCTCAAACGGCCCTACAAATACACAATACAAGAATCCTGTTTAATATAGTAAGCACACCATATAAATGTTAGACTCTTTGGGAACATTTCTTGTAGCTCCGAGCTATACTGTCTATCATAATGATATCACTCAATTTTAAGTGCTACACTAATTATTGAAGTTTCTATACTTATTCATAAGTTGACACTACAAACAACCTTATGTATTAAACTTCAACTATGTTATTGGAGACAACTGAACTAAATCATATTATAAACTCACGAGTACCTTTGGGTATTTCTACCCATTCAAGCTCCAAAACTTCACATATACAACATTCAATTTTCACGTTAATATAGTACTATCTAGGTATATTATTGTACATCAACCCCAACAAATTTTAACACATTAACGCTCAAACATAATATTCTCACTATACTTTCTTCCATGATTAATATTAAAACTATCTTGGCCATGTCCCTCACATTCAGTAACATACGGGATTTCCTCACACAGTAACTATTGTGCAAGTCAAACATTTGTCAAAGGTATTATTCATATATATTTTTTTTTAATGCTAACATTTATTTTATTATATATTATTAACTATTTATTTGATAACGATTTACGCCATAATAATAATATATCCATTATTTATAATGATTTACAATTAATAACTACATCTATACGTACTATATTAAACTTGCATTCATTTCATTACACTATATACAATTCATGCGATTATTTCTTGCCTATCTACAGGCTTATCACTTTGGGGGTTCCCGCTGAACACACCGAAGGGCGAACGCGGCGGCTGCCCGCTGTAACTAGGAATCTCTGTCGACCTCATGGGCGCAGTACTCTCCCCGCGGGCTCCATCCATTTTACTTCTTCACCAATGCTGTACCTTGTGCTCCTTCCGTAGTCGGTTCTGTAAGTATTAAAGCAGTAAGGGTGGGCACAAACGGACATGAAGTATCAACCTGACAGCCAAACAACATAACCCTTAAGGGTACTGCTGGAATTACTTTCTAACACGAGGGGGGACTTTTCAGGAAGCGAACTGCACAAGTGTCATTATTGGATAAAGCCACGGTGATACCCTGTGGAAAACTGAAAATGGACACTGGCACAGGGGAAAGCAGTGACTAGAGGGGAAAGCAAGAGAAAAACGTCTTCCAGCAATGTAGTCGCTAGCGAAGTAAGGTAACTACCAACCCGAGCACAACTTTAGCCGGAAAAACAAACACAAGTACAAACAGGTGTGTCTGTTGGTGGGGGGGGGGGGGGAAACAGTTACCGTATCTGGGTCAAGGGCACAAGTTATTCCAGGGGGAGGAATCTAGCAACCAATAATTCATTTCAAACTATTCCTATACATTAATATAAACAAACAAAACATTAACTATTTATATGACCACTATGTATATAATATCAAATCAATATATAAATAAAACCATATTTCAAATATAAGAAACAGGTCCTAAGGCGCAACTGCAACATGCTTGCGTCCAGAGTGACAAATTATAACGATGCTAACAGCGTCCGATACATTCACCTCCATTGTATCTTGGCCTCCGAAAGCATGTTACACCTCAATAGTTACCCTAACAAACTGCCTTAACACCCGTAAATTACTTTAGTCTCAGTGTCAATGAGCATCTGCGAGCACCAGTACCCCAACAACTTAAATATCTCGCAATCTCAGGCAAAGTGAAATGGACACCAGCAACGCTACGGATCCCTAATTGTAAAACGTCTCCATAAACCAGCGGCCTGGAACGCCGCATATTAATAACAATATAAATATAATACCTGAATAACATCGCCGCCTTAACTCATCACAGGAAGAACGTTGCCTCCAGACCACCCCATGAACGCAGTCACCTAAGACGGCAGTGGCTATCACAACCTTCCTGGCTACATTATCCAGACAAAAACGTGTGGATAAACAAGCACCCTGGGAACCAGCACTATCTTCCGGCCTACACCGACCACACAACACGTCGGATAACCACCGCCCTGGGAGGCCACACATGTCTCCATAAACCACCAACCGGGAGCCTACACATTCTTTCGCCCTACACCGCCCACACAAAACTAATGTAAACTTTTACTGCTACTGGTAAACGAAAATCATGCTGCCTACCTGTCACTACTTAATAACTTCATGACAAACTCAAGAAAACAAGTATAAAGGTAAAACGCTAAGTAAAATGACATGCACTGAAGCAATGCATAACTAGCAATATATTGCTGAAGGAAATAATCATAATATGAGTCCAAGATCAACTTAACAGGGACAGCCATGAGGCCCGAAGACAGCGTCTAGGACATCCTAGCTGACTAACTTATGCTTCACCTTTAACTAAACAAACAAATGTAAAACAAGCACAAACATCCACCTTGACAATGCATAACATTCATTAATAAATTAACGGAATTTATGGAAATTATAAATCAATGAAAACTTAAAGCTACGGGCCGGACGCCTCTGACACAGCACGTAGCCTAACCTAGCTCACTTTACCTATTAACTTCAAAGCGATAACCATCATGATAAACAAACATAAGTGGAAACAATAAATAAATACACATGCAGCAACACGCTGCATAATTTGCGGGAATAGTTTGGTGATGTAACTAAACGTCAATGCAGGGCCAGTAATCTTAAAGCGAGGGGCAGGGGGGGGGGGGCCTACTCCAAGCCTATCACAGCCTACCTGAGTTACTTGATAACTTATAGTTCAACAAACAAGTAGAGTAAATCACGTGCAGCTTGACCCAAATAATTTTCAGTAATAAATTGACGTACATTAATGCTACACAATAAAAAAATATTCTTAAAAGTCAAACCCATCAGGCTTGTAACTCACGAACTAGCACAACCTAGGTTACTTAATACATAACTCAATACAAGATCCAACAGTTAATATTTTAGTAACACATGCACGGGGCCAATGCATCATTTGTAATAAATTTAACAAACAATTCGTAGTTGCAAGCCCAAGCAACGTAACACCAAGAGCCTTGGACCCGTGATGCCGGTCCAAGATACATAATTTGCGGTTAATTAATTTGTCAGCCGTAACACATTGTAAGTGAAAGACAATAATATAACATTTTATATAGCCACCGTTTAGAGTACGGTCAGTCAATGATCTAACAATAGATTCACGTCTGCTTTACATTTATATCTATAACAAATTTATCTTCATTTCGGTAACCTTTCCCATATATTACAAACTTATTTTATTGCCTAGAATGGCAAATTAATATCATTTATTTATATACACAAAAAGGTACATTGGGTTGGTTACAATACATAGCATGCTATTTACACTTGTAACGCCATTAGTACGCGCAGCCTTTCGGCCAGCTCCTTAAGTAACATTAATTTTAACTAAATCAATTCTAGCGCAATTATAATGATTTTTGCAATGTATCAAAGAAAATACTCGACATGAGATTACAGACATTAGTAGGTACAGCTATATTAAACAATATTGCTTTATTAAACCTCACATTGCATTGACACCTTCATTGGTAATTGATACTAAGATTAATAGGCACCACAGCAAATTTAAACCACATAAGACACCAATGATCACAATGGTCAAGTTTTTGCCATTGGGTACATGATTGGGTACCACTACATACAGTGCAATTTTAAATCAACAATGTGCAAAACTATGAAGATGCATTTACGTAATTTTTACTTCAATTATTAGGTACTTCATTACGAAAATTACGTTTACGATATTAGGAGATTACAGTAACAAATATATTAAGAAATTAGGTAATTCTACTTTAATTATGATTCCCTACAACTATCTATTCCTTTATGATTCAACAATTCCCCCACAATATTTCATATTACATCATCGTATTACAATATTGCATTACTACATCAACTATATATTTCCCCTTCCTTGACCAGACCACATATTTACTGACCTCTGTTAGCACACGCCTTCTAGGCGAGTCCATCCTATTTCTCTATTGTATATATACTGCAATTTATTAGCAATCAACAGTAATACAAATTATAATCAAACTGGATATCTACTCACAATCAAATTAGATGCTAGACGATTATGCACTATAAACATTTACAACCATATTTAATTCTTTCGTACCTTCTATGGAACACAAACTTGATCCTTCAACAGCTGGAGGTTGTGTCCCTAGAGTAACTACACAGGATGGTACCAACGTCATCCACGTCGAGGGTACTCAAGCGTGTCACCTGCGAAACTATAATGTATTCAGGATTCTGAACATTCATATACGATAAACATTCCTTATCACAATTACTATCTCAAACACACGGCCATGCACTGCTCAAAAAACAACACGGCTTGGGAGGGAGGGGGGTGCCTCATGGGACACATTTGAAATGGGACATTCACCAAGTTATGAACAAAGCCCCACTCAACCTTCCAGACACTCTGGTGGGGGGGGGGGGGGGGCGCTTTTATCAACTAAGCTTAATCTCTTCTCTGGGAGCTGCGAGTGTGTGAGCTGTTCATGTGTATTTCACCATCTATACATGAATACCGCGTACCATTCATATATACACACACCAAACCTTCCACAAGTTATGTTCACTTCAACCCATTTAGTTGATTATATAATCAAGTGTTCCCTCTACTAAGGCTGGGTCTCAGGACGTCTAATGCTCAAAGTACACCACATGATTCATTCAGGATTGATAATATATTTACTACTAGTGGCGATTTCCCTGTTATGGACTAAGTAACTAAATTCTTGGAGGAAGATGTGTTGAAATGAACATATCACTCACCTGCAGGTCACAGCCTCTTCCATTACTCTGCAGTGTGGCGTTGGTTGCCCTCCACAAATGCTCCTTTCTTCACAAATAGATACTTCACCATTGCTGTTTCGCCCACCCCGCAGCTCTCCACACGCTCATCTGCATGAAATATAATGCGTAATATGCATCCATCTAACCTTAATAAAAGATGTTAAGGGCTACAACCATCTATGAATACTCTACTCAAAACTCATTACACAATTTTGTCTTCCCTGCGAATTCATTTCCTCTAATATAATTGTATAATTCAACATCTAACAATTTGGATATTACTTTCTGATATGTCTACCAACATCTAACTCCATTTAGACGAAACAAAACTAATACATAACAAAACATGTCTTGGAGCACTCGTCAGTGCTCATTTTATTATCAATACCATCAAAGCGCAGCCATGACAATACCCTTCCCCACACTCCAAACACCATGTCGGGTATACCTACAATCCGAAGCTAAACGAGATTGACAATTCTTCGGGTTTCCTGATCGCGCAATCATCCTCCCTTCCACAAATCACCGTCTCTGTTACACTTATGGCTAGACAACATTAACTGCCCAATAATTACCTACCAGTACTAATTGCGGTACCTATATGACCACACTTTGCCTGATTATGTTCCAGGGAAACAACACTGTTCCTAGTACACATTTCTCAACGCTATAAAATAAAGTCCACACAATATACTTCCTGCTACACAATGATAAACAGATCGTAAACAAATACCTCAACCTTAAGTTACAAGTGACTTTTTCACTTTTGCATCAACCTACACTACTGGTGCAGCGCACGCTATCCCGCTCACTACACAATTACACCAATATCAACAACATAACCACCACCAACACACTCCCACGTCTACCCTCGCCAGCCACCTACAGTAAACAAGAAAAATACTGTCACGAGGGTCACATCTCCAGTCAATCAGCCATTGGTCGCAAGTAAACCGGAACCTTCACATCCACTCCACGTAACAAAATAAACCTAAAATATATCATTTACATGACCTTTGGCCTACGAAGGAGGTCGCGCTTATTTAATGCTCTATATTTAACATTATAAACAATTTCAATTAATAATGGCACTAACATTTCATTCATAAGTCAATGTTGATTTTTATCACCTATGTACCTCAAACGACTCGCGTCAATTCATGTCTACGTCCTTCGACGAGGACAGGAAGGCTACGTATTATCAACGGTTCACCCCTCATACGTCAAATTATGTAACCAGGTAACCTGAACAATTTAAAGTGTGGGGGGGGGGGGGGGCAACAGCAATTTCAATTTCAATAACACTACACTCGACCCACACCGACAGCGGCCAAACACTATCGCCCAACTTATTCACTACTCTTAATCACCAAAGTTACCGGAAGCAACACCACCACAATCATCCTTCCACACTACATTTTTTTACTATCTCAACTTTTTACACCACTTAACATTAATTACCGTAACTCATAGATTTTCAGATTTAAAACAAAACTGATGCGGGTCCTGATATGGCTGTAGTAATGACTGGTCAAACTTCAATTGCCCAAATTAGCCTAATCCTAATACATTATTACTATAACTATTTACCTTCTGCCGGATAGGGCCATCAGACCTTGCTAACTCAAGTAGCACAACTGGAACATCTACCACCACCACCTCCTCGGCAGGGTATGACTGCAATCATCGCTCCTTCAAGACGGCTGTGGAAAAAAATACAAAATGTTAATCAATACAGTACGTAAACATTATTATTTTTCTTTTAGTACTGATTATGGGTCAGGACTAACAAATATCGCAGTATATATACCCCCCAACAGGGGGTATATACGACAGCTAAAAATAATATAGATTTTTGCCCCTATGTGCGTTTGGACGGTGTACAGAGTGACAGTGTAACCTAGGGGTCTGTCAGCCCTAGCGACCCCAAAGGGTAACGGGGTACCAGCTCAGAGTAACAAAACGCCCTAACACTAACTTGTACACCTCTACTCGGCTAATTCTAGGGGCAAAATAACGTTCCGTTGCGCCTCAACGAGCAGGTGGACTCAATAGCCAATCACGTTTCTCATTTTCAGTTGACGTCACATACTCAATAGCCAATCACGTTTCTATTTTCACTTCACGTCACATTGTCGCAAGCTGTACTGTCATTGGTCGCCTCGACGTAATTGGATACCTTACTACTTAATGAGTTTTATTTTTTGAAACTGAAATATATCAACTCAAATGTATACCCAAAGTCTGAGAAACATACATGTATCAAATGGATGAGAAATTATTTTTTTTTTCCCCATTTTACCTACTTATAATTATTGGTTAAATTAAGGACCGGCCCGAAACCCTGCGCGTACTACTGGCTTTACAACAGTGTAATTACTGTACTATGCTATGTATTCTCACAAACCCATTGTACCTTAATGTATATCAATATTTTTAGAAATACATTTTTTTAATGTTTTACATTACACTCAAAATTCAGGATTTTCGATTACTTATTTTTATATAACTATTATTATAATTATTACATAATAAGATTAATTATTCAAGCTGTATGTACAGTACAACACAGTACACCATAGTACAGTACCGTAGTGTACACTTCCGTACGCTACGATGCACTATAGTCTACTATACTGTATACTTTACAATACAGTACAGTACCGTACACTACCCTACGATACAGTACACTCAAGGGCACAGTACTCTACACTACAATATAGAACAGTACAGTACCGTACACTACACTACAGTAAAAGGTACAGTACCGTGGAGTTCAAGGGCCTCATTCACGAAAGCACTTACTCGAGCACTTACGAACGTGTACATCTTTCCTCAATCTTTGACGGCTTGGGCTACATTTATTAAACACTTTACAAGCATGAAAACTTGCCAATCAACTGTTGTTAATGTTATAAACACCCTCCTGGTGCTTCGGAGCTCATTAACTGTTTAACAGTTGTAAACAAAGCCGCCACGATTGAGAAAAGATGTACAGGTTCGTAAGTACTTGCGTAACGTACGAAACATAGCGTAACATAGCGGCGAAAATCGCGATTTTTGCCCGCCAGCTGCGAAAATCGCATAGTTTTTGCGCAAAATGGCGCGGTTTTCGGCCGTTAGCGGCAAAAATCGCCCGATTTTTGGCCGCTATCGGCAAAAATAGCGCTATTTTTGGCCGGTAGCGGCGAAAATCGCAATTTTTGCCCGCAAGCTGCGAAAATTGCATAGTTTTTGGCCGGTAGCGGCGAAAATCGCGCTATTTTTGGCCGGTAGCGGTGAAAATTGCGATTTTTGCCCGCCAGCTGCGAAAATCGCATGGTTTTTGCGCAAAATGGCGCGGTATTCGGCCGTTAGCGGCAAAAATCGCCCGATTTTTGGCCGCTAGCGGCGAAAATCGCGCTATTTTTGGCCGGTAGCGGCGAAAATCGCGATTTTTGCCCGCCAGCTGCGAAAATCGCATGGTTTTTGCGCAAAATAGTGCGGTTTTCGGCCGTTAGCTGCAAAAATCACGCTCAGGAGAAAAATTTCGGACATTTCAGACATTTTGAAAACTGCAGGGGGTTTGGGAATAATATGACCCATCGCCGTTTTCAGTAATTGGCATATTTTCGGTATAAAAAGTCGTAATTTGAAAATGAAAATAGGTGCAGAGAGTCAGAATTCGCCTCAAAAATCACGCTCAGGAGTCAAATTTCGGACATTTCAGACATTTTGAAAACTGCAGGGGGGTTTGGCCAAAATATGACCCATCGCCGTTTTCAGTAATTGGCATATTTTCGGTATAAAAAGTCGTAATTTAAAACTGAAAATAGGTGCAGAGTCAGAATTCGGCTCAAAAATCACGCTCAAGAAACAAATTTCGGACATTTCAAACATTTTGAAAACTGCAGGGGGTTTGGGAATAATATGACCCATCGCCGTTTTCAGTAATTGGCATATTTTCGGTATAAAAAGTCGTAATTTGAAAATGAAAATAGGTGCAGAGAGTCAGAATTCGGCTAAAAAATCACGCTCAGGAGTCAATTTGACTCCTGAGCGTGATTTTTGTGCCGAAATCTGACTCTCTGCACCTATTTTCAGTTTCAAATTACGACGTTTCATACCGAAAATATGCCAATTACTGAAAACGGCGATGGGTCATATTTTGCCCAAACCCCCCTGCAGTTTTCAAAATGTCTGAAATTTGAATCCTGAGAGTGATTTTTGAGCCGAATTCTGACTCTGCACCTATTTTCAGTTTCAAATTACGACGTTTCATACCGAAAATATGCCAATTACTGTAAACGGCGATGGGTCATATTTTGCCCAAACCCCCCTGCAGTTTTCAAAATGTCTGAAATGTCGGAAATTTGACTCCCGAGCGTGATTTTTTATCCGAATTCTGACTCTCTGCACCTATTTTCAGTTTCAAATTACGACTTTTAATACCGAAAATATGCCAATTACTGAAAACGGCGATGGGTCATATTTTGCCCAAACCCCCCTGCAGTTTTCAAAATGTCTGAAATGTCGAAAATTTGACTCCTGAGCGTGATTTTTGAGTCGAATTTTTACTCTCTGCACCTATTTTCAGTTTCAAATTACGACTTTTTCCACCGAAAATATGCCAATTACTGAAAACGGCGATGGGTCATATTTTGCCCAATACCCCCTGCAATTTTCAAAATGCCTGAAATGTCGGAAATTTGACTCCTGAGCGTGATTTTTGAGCCGAATTCTGACTCTCTGCAACTATTTTCAGTTTCAAATTTCGACGTTTCATACCGAAAATATGCCAATTACTGTAAACGGCGATGGGTTATATTTGGCCCAAACCCCCCTGCAGTTTTCAAAATGTCGGAAATGTCGGAAATTTGACTCCTGAGCGTGATTTTTGAGCCGAATTCTGACTCTCTGCACCTATTTTCAGTTTCAAATTACGATTTTTATACCGAAAATATGCCAATTATTGAAAACGGCGATGGGTCATATTTTGCCCAAACCCCCCTGCAGTTTTCAAAATGTCTGAAATGTCGGAAATTTGACTCCTGAGCGTGTTTTTTTATCCAAATTCTGGGCAAAATGTGACCCACCTCCGCTTTCAGTAATTGGCAGATTTTTGGTATAAAATGTCGGAATTTCAAACTGCGAATATGTGCAGAGAGCCAGAGTTTGGGTCCAAAATATGGCTCAGGTATCGTATTTGGAATGTTTGGGATATTTTGAAAACTGCAGGGGGGTTTGGGCAAAATGTGACCCACCGCCGCTTTCAGTAATTGGCATATTTTTGGTATAAAAAGTCGGTATAACTATGTAACTAGTCGGTAAAAGTCGGGCTATTAACTCTTGGACCCTGACAGTCTTACTAATTCATTTTTCTTTATTATATCTACTACAAATTCTTCTCTCGAACACACAATAACATCCCCAGGAAGCTGTCCGTAGCAGCTGTCTAACTCCTAGGTACCTATTCACTGCTAGGTGAACAAGTGCATCAGGGTGAAAGAAACTCTGCCCATTTGTTTCCGCCGTTCTCCGGGAATCGAACCCGGGCCCTTAGGACCACGACCCCCGAGCGCTGTCCGCTCAGCCTCGAGGACCTTGTTTTGTGTACTTACCTAGTTGTACTTGGGGAGGGGGTTGAGCTTTGGCTCTTTGGTCCTGTCTCTCAACCGTCAATCAACTGGTGTACAGATTCTATAGCCTACTGGGCTCTATCAAATCTACATTTGAAACTGTGAATGGAGTCAGCATCCCCCATATCATTGCCTAATGCATTCCATTTGTTAATTACTCTGACACTGAAAAAATTCTTTCTAATGTCTCTGTGGCTCATTTGGGCACTAGGTTTCCACCTGTGTTCCCTTGTTCGATTTCCACCCATGCTAAATAGTTTGTCTTTGTCCACCGTTTCAATTCCTCTGAGAATTTTGTAGGTGGTAATCATGTCTTCACTTACTCTTCTGTCTTCCAGGGACGTGAGGTTTAGTTCCCATATCCTTTCCTCGTAGCTCATACCTCTCAATTCTGGGACTACTCTGGTGGCATACCTCTGAATCTTCTTTAACTTTGGTGTTTAACTTCGTATGGACTCCAGGCTGGCGCTGAATACTCCAGGATTGGTCTGACATAAGTGGTATACAAGGTCCTGAACGATTCCTTACACAAGTCTCTAAAGGCAGTTCTTATGTTGGCCAGTCTAGCATATGTCGATGACGATATCCTTTTGATGTGGGCCTCTGGGGACAGGTTCGGTGTGATATCAACCCCCAGATCTTTCTCTCTATTTGACTCTTGCTGGATATCACTTCTCAGATGGTACCTTGTGTTCAGCCTTCTGCTCCCTTCACCTAATTTCATTACTTTACACTTTCCTGAGTTAATCTTTAGTAGCCATTTTGTAGACCATTTCTCCAGTTTGTCCAGGCCGTCCTTTAGGCTCTGTCTATCTTCAGCTGTTTGATTCTTCTCATAATTTTTGCATCATCAGGCAACATTGAGAGGAATGAGTCTATACCCTCTGGAACGTCGTTTACTTATACCAGAAACAGGATGGGTCCAACTACAGAGTCCTGTGGGAATCTCGCTGGTGACATCTCGCCACTCTGATGTCTCTCCCTTCACAGTTACTCGCTGTTTCCTGTTGCTTAGGTACTCCCTTATCCACTCGAATTTGATTCTGCTGTCTTGTCATCCAGTCCTTATCATTTGTTCACAAACTTCACGTTCATAATGTGCCGCCTTACGTTCCAACAACTTGTCTGGGTCTACACGTTCTAGATTTGGTACTGGAACTCTTGGTACCAAATCTCAATATCTTTGCTGAACCTATTCAATCTCCTTGACAATCTTGTATGTTTCGATCATGCCTACTCTGTCTATAATCTTTTCCTACACCATGATAACACTTTATCTCGGCTTTACCTCCTTATTATACTCCTTCAGTTCTGGGAGTAGTCTCCTTGCTGGTGTTATACACCCCTTTGAAGGTCTCCGTGTGTGTGTGTGTGTGTGTGTGTGTGTGTGTGTGTGTGTGTGTACTCACCTATTTGTGCTTGCGGGGGTTGAGCTCTGGCTCTTTG